AAGTTTGGAGACCTCTGTCCTATAGAAGTTCTGGGATAGTCATAAGGTTTGGCAACAAGGCAACTACTTATGCATGCAGCAAAACCAGAATTGGGTGTTTAGAACGTAGCATTAGATCTGCCCTGGTGCGATTCTCCTCCACCCAAGATCGCTTTCCACACAAGGTAACTCTCTTAAGATTTTGCAAGGCCGCCAACTCTATGACCTTGAACCCAAGAAGGAAAGACATCTGGACCGATCTCAAGTGGAGTCAGCCTAGGTCCTGCTATTGAAGAGGGAATTCCACCAGGGAGGAAAGTTGTGAGCATTATGCTCTGGTGCCACACTTGAGTTTACAGATGGGAACATTCATCATTCCCTGTGCCAGATGACAATGGGGCAAGCATCACAGCGATGGAAAAGCTGGGATTCTGAGCATATGCTGTCGTTTTTCCGGTTGCCATGGGGATCGTGCATAAAAAGGGAGAGCCGTAGCAAGGCAGTGTGATCTAGTGAGTTAAGCTCCATGCAAACAAGGCTGAGTATCCTCAGCTTTAAACCCCGGCTCTTTGCTCGCTTGTGGTGGCCTTGGATGGTTGAGGGGGGGGATAGGTCCCTGCCCCCTTTGGCTATCCATTTAGAAAACAGTGCTAAGAATAGCTCTGTCGTGGGGGTGTGGACAGGATCAGCCAGCATTTGTGAAAAATCCTATCGTTGGCTGCCAGTGAAATCTCTCTGAGCGTTTGGAGAAACTCCCCGGTTTGATTCTCTGGGGCATGTGCCTCTTCTCCCGTAGCTTTAAAGGCAGCTTGGTGTAGGGCAGTGATGGCTAACCTTTTCGGCACCAAGTATCCAAAGCATGCGCGCCAGAGCCCCCAAGACCAGCTGGCTGCTGGGAGGTGTGCTCATGCATGCATGGCGGAGCTGAGCTGGGGCAAAAGCTCACATGCCTGCAGAGTGGCATGCGTGTCATAGGCTCTCCATCGCGGGTTTAGGGGGGAAAACTCTTCTTCCCCCAATAATGTCCTAAAAGGGTCAGAGTTCACGACTCACCTGTCGCCAGCTCGGCAAGTTTAAAGACTTGTGGACTTCAACGCCCAGAATTCCTGAGCTAACATGAGGAATTCTGGGAGTTGAAGTCCACAAGTCTTAAAAGTTGTCAAGTTTGAAGACCCCTGGTGTAGCTAATCTAAATCTCCGGCACAGCAGAACAGCTGATGGTTGGAAAAAGGAAAAATAGCAATTTAGCAGGCAAGTTTACCGGGTAAGGAATGAGTGGGCGGGGAGGGTTCCCGCGGTCCATGTGGACAACACAGCCTTGCGTTTCTGTGCAGCCTGGATTAATTGCTTTGTGGGAGTGCTCTGGGGGTGAGATTTCTCTGCAGCCCACCAAAATTTCCTCGCGGCCCATCAGTTGGCAACCGCTGTGCTAGATCACACACTTTTCAAACATTTGTCTACATCCAGCGTGTGACGTTTTCATAACAGTAGCTGTATAGAAGGCTGAACGTTCATCTTTCTGCAATTTCAAAGAAAAACCTTAGGCAAGACTCAACTGGTGTTGTAATAAATCATTTTGACATCTTTCTTTTTTAACCAGAAACAACAACCCCACCCCGATTCCAATCAAAAAGTATTAAAATCCCATGTTGAAGTTTTCTCAAGGTGAGGTAGGATGGCTGAAACAGATGGATATGTTCCTAAAGGATTCCTATTTTCTCTCCCCCCCCCCCCCCCCCAGGTTGTATATTACACCGAAATGTACAAAATATTTGGCGAATTAACAGAACAGATTGATGAGCCTGACTTAACGGACGAGCAGAGAGAAAAAGAGAGCGAAGCCAAGCTCAACGAGTTGAGGGCCCTCTCCATCGTGGCGGATGACTGATCTCCGGCTTACGAATCCTTCGTGGTGACAGCTGATGACGGAGTGGATGAAGACAGGAAGTTGAATATTACTTCCGATTTCTGAAAGCTTGAACCCTTTAAAGCAGGTCTCCAACCGTGGCAACTTCCTCAGCCTGAGGAACTCTGGGAGTTGAAGGCCACCAGTCTTAAAGTTGCCACGGCTGGAGAGCCTTGCTTTATAAACCCTTGTTTTAACTCACCTGTTAATCCACCAATCCTTGTCCACCTGTTTTAATCTGAATTGTTATTTGCCGCTGGCTCTTTACATCCTGAATGTCTTTTATCTGTATGATTAGGGGACCGGAGGCTAAAACATATGAAGAACGGTTGCAGGAACTGGGTATGTCTAGTCCAGAGGTCCCCAAACTTGGCAACTTGTGGACTTCAACTCCAGCTGGCTGGAGAATTCTGGGAGTTGAAGTCCACAAGTCTTAAAGTTGCCAAGTTTGGGGAACTGTGGTCTAGTCTAATAAAAAGGAGGAGTACGGGTGACATGATAGCAGTGTTCCAGTATCTCAGGGGCTGCCCCAAAGAAGAGGGAGCCAAGCTATTCTCCAAAGCACCTGAAGGCAGGACAAGAAGCAACAGGTGGAAACTAATAAAGGAGAGAAGCAACTTAGAACTAAGGAGAAATTTCCTGACACTTAGAACAATTCATCAGTGGAACAACTTGCCTCTCCAACACTGGAAGTTTTTTAAAAGAGGTTGGGTAGCCATTTGTCTGAAGTGGGGTAGGGTTTCCTGCCTAGGCAGGGGGTTGGACTAGAAGACCTCCAAGGTCCAACTCTGTTATTCTATTAATGACAACATGGCAAGATTCTCATATGGAGTCCTGCGTTGAGAGGTTTGTGGAGTTTGAAAAAAAATGGAAGAATTTACCCTGATAAAATGATAAGCGAACAAGCTTTTTAATTCAGTTTTTCTGAAATCAGGGTCCTGACAGCTGAATTGTGAGTGGCATCCTCATTGAGTATAGTTACTCCAAGAAATACATACATACACACACACACACACACACACACACACTCTCTCTCTTCTGGTGTTTAAGGAATGTCATCATTGCACTGAAACCTCATTCTGTGAGAGGTCCTTGTCTGGTTTGTGTCTTTTTGTGGCATTGAAAGCCGTCTAAACATAGTGGCATCCTTTAAAAACGGATTGGTAAAGTAGCTTAATCCTACTGAATGTAATATAATTCTTAGAAGCATAAATTGTGATTTTGGAAGAACACGAAAGGGCACAGATTATAACATCCCTTGATACGAACTACATGAATATTATACTTTGCACCCTGTGCAGGTACTTCACTCCTGAGATATTATTTACAGGGAAAGCAATTTGTTTCCTCAGCAGGTTGGTGAAATCCTTTGGCCATCATATAAAGGTGGCTGCGATTTAAACTAATAAAATGTTCTTCTTCTTGGTGGTGGCTAGCCAGGAATGCAGGTATGCCTTTATTTTCCTGGACTTAACTCCTGGTTTGTTAGTATTGGTGCCTTCCAACTGTTGTCTTGCCTGTCTTAATTATGATTAATGAGACTATTGTTGTAGATGATTCTTTTGGTTCTTCTGTAACCCCTACTTCTAATTTTATTTTTTCAAAAAAAAAAATCTTAGTGGATTATTTGACTCTGTTCCTTTGTGTACCAGAGTAGAGCTGCACCCATTACTGATGACTGATACATGAAGCTGCCTCGTTAATTTTGCAAAGCTGTTTGAAGGGCAGCCAGAAATAACTTGACATTCTCTGTTTAGGTCACATTACATGCATTTTAAGAGTTGAGGTATGGGCAACATTTTATTAATTATGGCCAAACTCAACCACTCTTGTAAACATGACGACAAAACACCCTGGAAGGCTTGTACTATATTGGTTTTTCTTTCCCCATATTTGTAAACTACACCATAGCACTTTCTCAAATATTGTCCCAAAGGTGCTTTTTCAGAAGGCAAATAGAGTTTCTTGTTTTTTCTTTTGAAGACATTTCGCTTCTCATCCAAGAAGCTTCTTCAGCTCTGACAGGATAGTGGGGAATGGAAGGATTTCTACTCCTTGCAGACAGCTGGTCATTGGCATCCTTTTTAGAGGGTCGTTGAAGCACTTGGAGGTTTATCTGTGTCCTCAGGGTCACCTGAATAGTGTGGGAGTAGGAACAGATTTCCAGAGAGAAAAATTGAAGACTACAGGAACCAGGAGCACCAGTCAGGTGACCCTGAGGACACAGATAAACCTCCAAGTGGCCTCAACCACCCTCTAAAAGGATGCAAATGACCAGCTTGTCTGCAAGGAGTAGAAATCCTTCCATTCCCCACCCTCCAGTCAGAGCTGAAGAAGCTTCCTGGATGAGAAGTGAAACGTCTTCAAAAGAAAAAAAACAAGAAAGTCCAGTGGCCTCCTGAAAAAAAGCACCTTTGGGACAGCCATGACCCGGAGGACGGAGAATCTCTACAGAGTTCTCAAATATTGTGCTTTTTCCGGCTGCCTCCCTAAATCAAACCAAGCGACCCCTTGAGCAGCCGCATGCCAGCTGTGTGTGTGTGGAATGAAAGGCAGCCCGAGAGCTGCGTCTGGGCGCAAAAAAAGAAGATGAGGCAAAGCACATTTCCAAGTGAGGAAGAGACTTTTATAAAAGTAACTTGGCCAGTTAAATACAAGTTGTTATCACATTTACAGACTAAAAGCAACACATTCAGAAGTGACAGACCACCTGAGGGTGGGAGAGCAGGTGGCCGGGGCAAATTGCAGCGAACACCTACTGGAGGAAGGCTTGAGCCCGGCCACTGCTTTGCATAGGCCCACCAGCTACTCTGCTAAAGTCTACCCCCGAGGAAACCCATGGCCTCCAGCTGTCCCAGCTGGGCACTATCGCCTTCCCAACTGGAAGTTCAGCGGACCACAGAGTCCCCTCCTGCTGCCCTCAAAATCCCAGACCCTCAAAAACTCAGATCCGCTGAAGGGGAGTTTCACTTTTGTCGGAAGGCTACTGATGGAAAAAAACCTCAATGGGTCCCAGAGCTCTCTGAGCTACAATTAGCAAGTAAAATGACTAGGGGGTTGAAGAAGAGGAGGAGGAGGAGGAGGAAGAGAGCCTCGTGGTGTGCGTTTGTTTTTCTTTCTTAAAATGGCTAAGATGCTGGGCCAAGTATGTACGGTGTTCACGCTCCAGCCACAGCACCCGAGCAGAGCTAGCAAGCCGCCCTGAATAGGCAGGGGCAGGAGCTGCTGGCCGAGGGCTAGCAGAAGAAAACCATCTCCCCCCCCCTCCCAGGCACCAGCTGGCCCAAGGCAGGCAGAAGGCCAACCCCTCCCCCTCAAGCTGGACGTAGAGGGGACAGGAAGTGGAAGGGGCTTAAAAACATCCCCATGCAGCAGCACAAAGAGGCTAGCGATGCCTGGAGCAGTCAGGACCTGCATGGCTCTCGGGATGGAGCTGACGTGCCCAACCCAAGACTTGCTCTTGGCCAACAGCCCGAAATACCTACCCTGTCGCTTCTGCCCTCGGACACAAGACCATCCAAATGCCTACCTAACGGGTATTTCTTTAAACAAGAGGGGGGGGGGGAGGTTCCAGCAGATGTGGGACTGGGGGCCCCTCCCCCCCCCCCCAAGCCTGGGGTGAGGAGGGGTGGTTGAGGATGAAAGCCAGCTGCTGCAGCCTTTCACATGGTGGCAAAGAAGTTGATGGTTTCAAAGGCTTGAACACCCAATCCCCCCCCCACGAAAGCCGCTTAACTCACAGCCCCAAAACATCAAACCAAAGGTGTACTGATCGCTCCACCTGACCAGATCTCTGGGGAGCATCAGTTGCTGGAAACGGAGGGCGACGTAGCTTCCTTTTTCTCTAAGCAGTTATTGGTCTGAAAGAGAGAGGTGGGGAAGAGGAAGGGGGAAACAATGATGACAAAGATTGTTCATGATCTTTCCTGACAATCAGAGCAATGGCCGCCTCCAGGAGTGATGGAGGCTCCATCATTGGAAATCTTCAGAGAGAGATCGGACAGCCCCTTTGTCCAGAATGTCTCCTGCTTGACCGGGAAGTTGACTAGAAGACCTCCAAGATTCCCTTCCAATTCTCTTAGTCGATACTCTAACCCAATCAGTTTGTCTTTCAGCAACTATAAATACCTTTGTTTGAACTCATTGCCATAGTTTGCTTAGCCATAATCCTGATCATCGTGTGTCAATTCTTGATACACTAAACCTGTGACACACTAAACCTGTGACACACTAAACAGGTGGCATACCTCACTGCGCATGTGCGTGCCTCACAGCTGATTTTTGGCCGGTTTGAGGCCTTTTTCGGACTCCCAGAGGTTTGAGGAAGGTTTCTGCAGGCTGAAAACTAGGCCCGTTTCATCACTTCCTGTTTTTTCCGGAAATACGGGAAGTGACGAAACGGGCCTAGTTTTCGGCCTGAAAAGCCTGCAGAAGCCTTCCTGAAGCCTCTGGGAGGCCGAAAAAGGCCTCAAACTGGCCCAAAATAAGCTGTGTTGCGCAGTGCAGGTAAAGGGGCAACGAGGATGGGTGGGTGGGTGGGTATTGCGTGCGCATGCATAGGGGGCGCACATTGCCTTTTGGGTGCAAGCACGCACACAATTTTTGGCACAGGAGCCCAAAAAGGTTAGCCACCACTGCAGTAAACTGTCAAAACCTTCGTTTAGAGCAGTGTCTGGACTGATTCTCTTTATGTCCCAAGCAGTCACATGATGCATCATTATTTCAGGCACGACTGGAGAAAGTATGTAATTGAACGGTTCCCTCTCCCAAAATCCCCGGAAGAAAGATTTTCACCTCTTCATCACACTTCTGTGAGAGGCTGTCTTAAAAATAGATCAATCTCATAGCTGATTTTTTTTTTTTCAGCCGCAATGTGAAAAACTTCGTGATTTCTCTACAGGTGGAAATTTGCTCTTGGAAAAAGTTGCACAGAGGGGAGAAAACATAGGCAGCATTGCTAAAACCCTGATCCCCCCATTTGGTGTCTTTTGGTGCCAAGGTCTTCCCCCAAACACCTTTGTGGATAGCCCACCAGACTCCCAATCTCACTGGTCATGCTCCTCATCCCAGCATAAATGAGACCTACAATGTTGCAAAGCGAAGCATCAACTCAATTTAGTTTTAACAACTCCTGCAAACCCCAACATAGACACAACAAGAAATTCCAGCTGCTAGCCAGACGTCTATTTAGGTAGGCCTTACCATCCCAGAGGAATTTTTTAAGGGTATTGCAGGGAGCATTGTGTGAAGCTAGAGAGATTTGGGGAAGCAACACCACCAATTTTTCATTTTTTTTCTGGGTCACATCTATTTTGTAGCAGTAGCAACATATTGCTCTCCAAAAACAACGGAAAGAAAAATGCCCACCTGCTTCCCCAAAATGGGAGAAACTTGTATAGGTAGCAACGTTTGACATATTCGGGACCAAAACCTAACAAAATTGTAATTTTACTTTTACAGACCAGCATATATGAACTATTTTAAAGTATTGTCCAATAGAGGGACAAAATCAAGCAGAGAATAGTGGGATGACTTAAAAGCCTCCAGCTGTTCACAGCGGTTCCCTGACGAATGCGGGCTCACAAATACCCTCATTTTCTGTCTTTTTTAAGCAGGTCGTCTGGGGCCAAGTTCGAAATAGCAATGCCACTGACCAACATGAACAAAAAATCCAAAGAGGCCACAGCTGTCATATTTGCCTGTTGTCTTAAGCACACTGAAGTCAATGGAGTTGTGTGAGTCATGCCCCCATTGGAGTCTCAATCCATTGGCTGAGGAGGAAACTGAGGAAGGGCAAGTCCGGCTGGGCAGAGCAGGGAAGAGGTAGAACAAGGGAGAGGGAGTTCAGAGGAAGAGCCAGGCCCACCCCCTCTTCATCCTAGGGCACGCAGGGAGGAACGGAGAACAGAGCAACATGGGTTGCATGGCTTACGAGGGAGGAAAGGGCCCTGATTCCCTTCACAAGGCACATCTGGGAAGGGAGTTTAAAGGAGAGGCAGTTTGGGAGGGGCATTTGTCGGAAACAAAGTTTATCTCATGTTGGATGCTGCTATGTGGGTTCCTGGTTTGATTTACTGCCATGTTACTTCACTTCTGGAACTCCTTATCTTACCCTGCCGGATTTATTACCTTATCTTGTCTTGCCGAATTCATAGTTTAAAGTTTTCTGTTTATAATGTTTTGGACTAGAATATCTGTTCCTGGGAGAGTTTTTCTCCAGACTGGCAGGTAACTGGGACATTGGGGGCAAAGTTGGAGCTAATAAAAGGACCCCTACTTATTATTCTGCCTGTGCTGCCTTTGTGCCACGCCCCGAATCATCACAAATTGACTTCTGTTCAATCACACCCGATCTGGAAGCCCTATTTTAACCATCAGTTCTTCAGAGAACCTGAATTTTCTTAGGTTCTCAAGGCGTCCTTCCAAAGGGATGAGAGTTTTCCCACTCTCTACTAGGAGCTGCAGAACTGCCCACACAGCCTAGGAGTCTCTGAGCAGACGTCCAGTTCTAGATCCATCAAGCCATAACTGTTTGAAGATCCAACACTCTCGATTTACTATAAAAGCCCCACTGGGTTCAATGGTCAGCCTACCTTCTCAATTATCCTCTGGATTTCCAGTTGCAAAGGAACCAGGCGCTTTTTATTCTCCTGTAGCAGCCTTTGAAATTGGGATTTCTGCTTTTCGGATGCTTTCGACTGCTCTTCCATCTCTGTCAGGCGCTTCTGCAATTCCTGCACTTCCAGCGTCAATGCCTTGTTGGAAGCCTCCGTTGATGAGAAGCGAAGCTGGGTCTCTTCTGCGAAATGCAGTCGATTGAAATTGTTTTCCAAGCAAAATGTTAAGAGAGAAGAGAGAAGTGTAAGTGCCTAGTCAAAACAAGGGAGAGCCAAAATTGGCAGTATCTCATTGGAGGAAAACCGATTTATGTACAAAGAGCAATTACGGTAATCTGTAATTATGGAATCTGCAGGGGGGGCAGATTTCAGGGCAGGAACCTTTGACTTGCACAATTCTACAGATACATTTTAGCAATAGCAATAGCCCTTACACTTATATACTGCTTTTCCAGTGCTTTCCAGCCCTCTCTAAGCGGTTTACAGTCAGCCTCTTGCCCCTAACAATTTGGGTTCTCGTTTTACCCGCCTCGGAAGGATGGAAGGCTGAGTCAACCTCGAGCCTGGTAGGATTCGATCTGCCAAATTGCAGGCAGCTGGCAGCCAGCAGAAGTCACCTGCAGTACTGCACTCTCACCACCGCGCCACCGAGGCTCTTTTCCAAACCTCTGGGGGGTATTTTAAATGCATGGGCCTGTCTGTTGCCTGCCACTCTCAATGTGCATCTATCCCTTTGTAAGCTGCCTAGAGTCGCTATGAGCAAGTAGGTGGCTACGTAAATTTTCTAAATAAATAAATCTCCATTTTCTGGATGTTCGTGCAGGTAGAACTTGAATCCCTCTCAGTTCCCCTTAAAAGAGTTCCACTCTTTTCATTCCACATCCGCTGCCCAGAATGGACATTCAGTTCTTGCTCAGGAAGCCATTCAATTCTATAATCCATAATACATGCATGCTTGGTACCCCTTGCAGGCAATCAAGAGTGTGCCCAATAAATACAATATTTTGGGCTTGAGTCGTGCTTTCTTATATGCCGTGTTTCCCCCAAAATAAGACCCTGTCTTATATATATTTTTTGTCACCAAAAAAAGGCACCAGGTCTTACTTTCGGGGAGGGCGATGTCATGCACTGATTTACCTCATTTGTGCATGTTGCCCCCAGCCTCTTTTTCACTGTCAGAGGCCTTCAGGAACTTCTGCAGCAAGAAAGGCCGGTAAGGCTCTCCTGAAGGGAGAGCTCCAATAACAGAGGTCTGGATCGATCCTGAGCTGTTATCGGCTGCAGAGGCCTACAGGAAAGTCTTGCCAGCTGCAGAAAAAAATGGCCCGGCAAGGCAGGTGTCGGGGTGTGCGAGGCCTGGCTGCACCTGTCTGAAAGTAAGTAGTAGGGAAGATGTGGCCCCCACATCCTCAACCTACCTTAATTTTTACCCGTGCAGCCTGGAGTTGGCGGGGTCTTAATTAGGGCTTATTTTTTGGGGGGGTAGGGCTTATATTGGGCACAAATGTAAAAAAAATCAAGCTAGGGCTTACTTTCAGGGTAGGTCATATTTTGGGGGGAAACACGTTGAGTTAGACTGCAAAATTCCTAATGACCACTAGATGGCAGCATGTGCGTCCTTTTGCTGCCGATTGCCCCCTAAAATCTGGTTTTGCTGCCAATTAGCAGCCTAAAATCTGGTTAACCCAGAACATACAGCTGATCGATCGAAGCAGCGCCTCATGGGTCCAGACGGTAATCAGGGTGAACTGCCAGGAACCGTGAGGGCTGGTTGTAGGTGAATTCCGTCTATCAAGCCTCCTCCACCAGCACTCACCCAACTTTAGCTCCAGGGTATGGATTTTATTTTCCAGGTAGAGTCGGCTGTTTTCTGTCTGCTCTGCCTTTTCCAGGAGCTTGCTCACATTAAGGACAGCTCCGTTGTATGGAATCAAATTGGTAGACTGAGCCTCTCGGGTAGATTTGGTGCAAGAAGCCGACGGGCGCAAGAAATGGAGGTTGCCTGCAAGAAGAAAATCGCATTTATCCTGCTTGACAATCCAGAACACCTTGATTTTGGGAATGGGGGAGCAAAAAGGAGGAAAAATACACAGGGATCCATTCCCCGCTGCAGGGCCGAAGCGTTATTCTCTCCCTCGCCAACTGACCCATCCTGAGAAAAAATTCTCCTTTCCCAAAGCGAGCCGCCATCTGAGTGGGAGGAGTTACTGTGAAGGAAATCCTCACATCCCTGGGACAAGGGGAAGTCCTTGACTTATGACCACAATTGAGCCCCAAAAGTTCCCTTGCTAAGCGAGACAACGGCCAATGGATTCTCCTCCCCGGGTTACATCTTTTCTTGTCCCCGTTGTTAAGTGAATCCATTGGCTTGGCTCATCAGGAAGGTTGCAAAGGGGGAAATCACATGACCCCCCCCCCCCCGGGGAACCGTCATAAATATGAGTCGGTTGCCAAGGGTTTGAATTTGGATCACCTGACCCTTGGGATCCTGCAATGGACATTAAGGTGGCAAAACGATTATAAGTCACTTTTTTCAGTGCCATTGTAACTTCGGTCACTAAATGAACTGTTCTAAGTCAAGGACTACCTGTATTTTGTTGGGAGGAGACAAAAATGTTAAGACACGCCGCCGCCACCCTGCCGCCCCCCATCCAGACCTCTTCCTGGCAGACAGAGGGCTCCGTAAAACCCATTGCTGAACTGGAACAAGCCTAACTCAAAGAAAGAAAGCTGTCGTGGCAAGCCACCCCTAATGGCCCATATAAAGTCCCTTCCCACCCCATACCTGTAACTCACCTGCCAGTTCTTCCTCTCCGAGACCTGCCTCTGTCCCTTCCTGCCGGCTGTAGCGCAGGCTGCGGTAACGGCACACAAACTGCGTCACCACCCTGTTCACCAAGCGCTTCACCTACCAGCAGATGAGACCCCCCCTTAGGAGCGGCCCTGGGAAATGCCGCAAAAGAAACCGCCGTGCCCACGGGGTCCGGAGGGCGGAGGCCAGCTCCTCTCCACGCTCACCTGCTCTTTGCAGAGGTGCAGTCCCAAGGTGAGCAGGATCTTGTCCATATCCTTCCTATGCAGGTAGCCGCAGAAATTCAAGTCGAAGTAAATGAAGGCAAGGAGGGCATCCAAGGGCAACACGGTGCTTGGGTCCAACTCTCTGGGCTAAGTGTGGTATATATATATAAATATGTATTAAAAGGGGAGGGGGAGAGAAAGGGAGATAATCTCACTCCGTGCTCCGTTTCACTGGTCCAGATGCCAACTTTATAGACTTTTGAGGTCCCCAAGCCACCAGTGGCAACATCAAAACAGATGCCCAATACTCGTTTATCACTGGTCACATTGCTGAGACAAGCTATAAAACGATTCTCCGTCAGCAGCAACTATCAGGGTTCAGTCACGTTACTGGGGCACCATAAGGAGCCTCTGTGGCGCAGTGGTTAGATTGCACTACTGCAAGCTACTTCTGCTGCAGACAGCTGCCTACAATTTGGCAGTTCAAATCCCACCAGGCTCCAGGTTGACTCAGCCTTCCAGCCTTCTGAGGTGGGTAAAATGAGGACCCAGATTGTTGGGGGCAAGAGGCCGACTCTGTAAACCTCTTAGAGAGGGCTGGAAAGTACTATAAAGCAGTATATAAGTCTAAGTGCTCTTGCTATTGCCTTCCTGTAATTCGCATTGGAAAATGCACTAAATCTCGGATGCTACCCGAGATAAAGCTTGATGGGACTGAGAGTGTAGTCCAGAGGAGGATGGCCTTTCTTTGAACACAGGAAACGTCCAATTCTGGCCTTCTAACCAAAAGTCACAAATTAGCCTAAGCCAGGATTCCTAAACTCATTCGCTAAGGCAGGGGTCTGCAACCTTAAGCACACATTACAGATTACCGTTCAATTGCTCCTTGTACACATGCATAGGCTTTCCTGCAATGAGATATTGCCAGTTTTGGCTCTCCCTTGTTCCGACTAGGCGCTTGCACTTCTGTTAACTTTTTGCTTGGAAAACTATTTCAATCGACTGCATTTCGCAGAAGAGACCCAGCTTCGCTACTCATCGACGGAGGATCCCAACAAGGTGTTGATGCTGGAACCGCAGGAATTACAGAAGTGCCTGACTGAGATGGAGCCATTTGGACCCATTTCCCACAGAAAAGAAAACAACAGGAGCCAATAATTTAACAACCGGTGTGACTGGGTGGGCTTGGCCAACTCAATGTCACTCACCCAGTCACCTCCTGCTCTGGAATATGGAGCGAATCTCCGTCCTCTGCCATCACCTTTACCTTCCCAGGCCAGGTGAGGAGTGACAGGGAGGGGAGGGGCCAGCCAGAGGTGGGGCCAGCCGACAGGGAGCTGCAGCAGAGGGCCCAAAGAGTCGCATGTGGCTCCAGAGCTGCTGGTTGCAAACCCCTGTGCTAAGATTAACATGTAGCATTGTGCACATCATCGAAAGAAACAAAAAAAACGAAGAAAAATCCAAAGCAAGCTACAGTTTAACATGCTGTGAACCAGATCAACACAAACTAGGAATCATATTGAGCTGGGTGATTAAATTAATAAAGATATGGGAGGCCCTTGATATGTCTTTACAGTGTTGAAAAATATATACCTACACATATATACCTACTAAAAGTATACCTACATTCCAGAATTTAGGTGTTTACACAGCTCAGTCCTCTGGAGATTCCCCTCAATTACCTAGCCTAGCCTAGGATAAACAAAATCCAATTTCTGAGAAAATAATTTTGCCACCATCTACATTCTTTATAAATTCGTGCAAATTTGCCTGCTAAAGGTGATTTATGGAATTAAATCTCAATGAAACCAGCACCAGAATTAGTATGTTACAAAGTCAGCAACATCCCCCAAAAAACATACTATGGCTTATACCCCAGTCTTCCCAAGACAGCTAATTAAAGCAGGATACATCCGTGAAGAAAAGTCAGACATAAACAAGCAAACCAAACTTTGAAGAAGAGCTGGCCACTAACCATATCGGGAAGGGAGGAAACCTCAATCTCTGACTGGTTGGATGCAACGGATCTCACTTCAGCATCTTCCAACTTGACACCTGTGGAAAAGGCAACATGACCTACTTCAGAAGCTGACTGTCAACTCTGAAGCGAGCCTGGCGGAAGCCATCTTGTGCTGCCTCGTAGTTGCCACGAAGCCTGAGGTGGGGAAGGGAGTGTGGAAATAGACAGCCCAGCTAACAAGTCAAAACTGTGGGAACCAAGGTCATCGTAACGGGTGGCTGTTGAAGGAGGAAAGGAGCCTGCCATCCGTCCTAATTGGACAATGTGATTGGTGACATATGGGAGGGGGGATTTTTGCTCTTTTAATTAGGTGAAAACCACGGGAACGGTTAAGAGTTGGTTTTCACCGGCTGTGCTGATACGATGTGTCCATAAACATGTTGTTTGAGGGATCTACCTGTGTCAGAATTCTGCTTTCAATGGGCACATTACTTGGAACGTGACACTGACTGGATCCATTCAGTGTCCTTAGCCAGACGAACATCTCTTGAGTGTGCAACAAATGCCTTTCAACACCCCAAACCATCGCAGTCTGGAGACAGCCCTGAGGTAGCCGAATACTGACCGAAGGCCATGAAAAGAAAGGTGGGAATCCTGATTTCCCCACAGAGAAAAGCCAAGGGACTTTCATCTTGTCTACAACTAAGGGCAGTGGATTAGGGCAACTCCCTGCAGCTAATATGTGTCCCTACCATGGAGTCAAGGTTAAACGAAACAGTATTGCGCTTCCCAGGCTGCTTACCAAAATCCTCCTCTTCGTCCTCTCGTAGCAGCAAAAGGTCATCTTCCATGCTTAGCTCACAGAGGTCATCGGTGGAATCCTTCACTTCGGCTTTGACGCTGACTTTCTCTTCCTTGGTTGCATTGGCCCCATCTTGATTTGGGGGCTTCTTCTCGGCCTCCCCAGTCCCCTCTTTCTGCATGAATGGAAAGGACAATATCTGTGCCTTCCCCCCCCCACCCAAAAAACCCCCATCTATTACCCTGTTTCCCCGAAAATACCACCTATCCTGAAAGTAAGTCTAGCTTGATTTTTACACGTGTGCCCAATATAAGCCCTACCCCCAAAATAAGCCCTAATGAAGATCCTACTCCAGAGTGGATGGGTAAAAATTAAACTAGGGTTGGGATGGGGGAGGTTGTGGAGCTGCCCTACTACTTACCTTTGAACAGTTGTAGCCAGGCCTCGCACACCCCGACACCTGCCTTGCCAGCCCGTTTCTTCTGCAGGTGGCAAGGCTGGCAAGGCTTTCCTGAAGGCCTCTGTGGCTGATGACAAAGCTCTGGATCGATCCAGAGCTCTATTATGGGATGCAGAGGCCTTCAGGAAAACCTTGCCGGCCACAAAAGAAGAAGTTCCTGAAAGCCTCTGACAGCGAAAAGGAGGCCGTGGGGAACACGCACAAGTGAGGTTAGTCAGCGGATGACATCCCCCCAAAATAAGACCTGGTGCCTTTTTTTGTGGCAAAAAATATATATATAAGACAGGGTCTTATTTTGGGGGAAACACAGTATCCTTCACAATCGGAAGAAAATGCAAACCGTGCAATGTCAGAAAAGGTGAGGAGAGGATGCAACTGGCCTAAGATGAGGGGGCCACCCAATTGTGCTGTAAGGCCTGGAGAGCTGCATAGACGTACTTGAACTTCCTTCTGGTTGCTCTCTGGTGCATCTTCTGCTCCAGGTTTCTCCTGAGGTTCCTCCTTCAGTTCGTTCTCTGCTTCCTTTTCAGATTTCGGCACTTTTTCTGAATCGGGATTCTTGGCCTCTGGAGGCTCCTCCTTTTCCGGCAGGGCCAGGAGCGCCTTATAAAGCTTGTAGCCAAAATCCCGCTGAAGCATCTCCTGGAAAATCTCTGCCATCACTGCCACCTCGGGAGGGGGGAAGAAGGAGCAAGAGAGATCAGGGAGCGAGAAGCTGGGAAAGATCTCGAGGCCTAAACTAGGGAAAGGTTGAGCGTCCACACACCTATACGGGGCACGCCTGATTTAACAGGTTGGGGATTCAACAGGTGGAAATCTGCTGGAAGGGGATACGCTCCAATAGGATGCTGGCATCAGAGGCTGAGAAGAACGAGAAGGTGCTGAGTGGGCTGGTGGGATAATCGGCATTGGCAGAAACAGCACTGGGAAGTTGGGAGGCTCAATCCAGTGGCATATGCCCCGGTGCTAAATGTCAACCCTGAAGCTGACCTGATTTGAGGCCATTTGAAGACTTCAGCACTGATGTCAACTGAAAAGATACTCCTTTAGTCTTTTTAGCTACCAGAAAAAGGGAATGGGGGGGGGGAAACAAGGCATTCTTGAAATGCCTAGATAATCACCTCGGCAGCCCAAAGTTGTCGGAGCATAAGAAGGTTATTGGAGAGCATGATGGATGACTCTTGGGAGACGGATGTGTCCCACTGGAGAAGTCACATCCAAGGGGTGGGGGAAAGACCAGGGTCAAGGGGGAAATGTGTGGTGTGATTTAGGATCAGCTGCACCCAGCCACGCGCCAACATGGCAATTTCTAATAAAACAATTTACTTTTTCTGAGATGCAGCTAGAGAGTTTTGATTTGAATGAGGGTGGGTTTGTTGGACCCCTGACAGCTGACACACTGGAGAAGAGGGACAGGAGGGGGAATAGAGATAGTTGGGGTATTGTAGTCAAAACAAAATACTTTCTCTCGAGAATCAAGGACGTTCCTGTGGATGCTCGGGAGGAGGAGACTGGAGTCACCTAGCACCTGGACAATCTCCTGATTGGACCATGTGACTGGTTGTTTTGGGAAAGTGACAAACTTTTAATTAGGTGAAGACCACAGGGAAACTCAAGAGCCGGGTTTCCAAGCCTGTGCCAATATGACATAGCTAATAAACTCATTCTTTGAGGAATCTACCTGCCTCAGTTTTGTTTGCTACAGGTATGTTACCTGGAACCCTGACATTAAGGAGAAAGGGTTGGTGATGTACACCAGTCCATAATAGTTAGGTAATCTCTGGCTTTAACATGTATTGCACTTTCCACTTCTTCTACTACAGGATTTATTTCAGTTTAGTTTATGTCTGCATTTTTAAAAATCATGAACATCTTGATACTCAGACCCTACAAAATCCACTTTCCAACTCTACTCTGTCTTCAAAGGTTCCGCACCCGACCCCTTGTTTGTATTCCTCCTATTCTGCTGGTAATTCACACGGTGCTACCTCTTCCAAGCTCTCTTGATTCAACCTTATGGCTGGAAGAGAGGGAAAACCTAAATGCAAACGGCTTCTTAGTAGGAGTAGCCAATAGTAGGCTTTGTCATAAATGCGGGGTCCTTTGTGCTCTCTGTGCTTGGTAGTTTTCTTGCAGATGTTTCATTACCAAATTAGGTATTTCAGTTTGGTAATGAAACATCTGCAAGAAAACAAAGCTCAGAGGCCCCACAGTTCAACTCTGAGCTATAAATATTCTCTTCTATCTTAATCATAAATGCAGGGGAATTCACGCCATCGTGCACTCCCAGAACCTAACCTTCTAATCAGATGGGGGCATCTAAGCAGGCAGAGCCAAGCCAGATGAGGGGGCCAGCTACACACAACCCTCGAGAACTTCCACAAAACCTACCTCAAAGGAGAGCTTCTCCCGCTGCCTTCTGTACTCAAGCAAAGTGTAAAGAGAGATGTTGGTGCAACTGGGCTGCCCATTTTGCAGTGCCAGCTGAGGGTAAACAACTATGGCGGGTTCCAGTGGAGGAGCTGGGATCTCTGGTTCAGAAGTCGACGTCTCCAGAGCTAGCTCGGGGACTGGTACAGCTGAGTCCATTTCCTGCTCACTGGCCTCCATTTCTTGGTCCGGAGCTGGTTCTGAGGTCTGTTCAGTTTCTTCCACCTGTTTAGAAGCGTCATTGTTAGAAGGCAAAGCATCAGTGATATGTAAGTTGAAGATCCAAGGACTCCAGCCAAAATCCTTCCAAAAGTGGCCACCATACTGTAACTCAGCCAGAAAACTATTACAAGTTTTGAAGAGGAGAACAAATTAAATCAAATTTATAGTTTTTCGTTTGGTTCTCATTGACTTCTTGGCCCTGATCTGGCCAACTTTTAGGAGGCGGCTACTGGTGTTCTGCTCAAAAGCCAACTGGGACCCTCAGCAAGAAAAACGTTGTATGTCTTGAATCTATTTCAGGGCTCTCCAAACTTGGCAACTTGAAGACTTGTGGAACTTCCAG